TGGGGACTCCCTTTGAAATAAAAGTTAATTTTTTTTTTGATCAAATTGATTATTAAATAATAATATTATTTTTGTATATTTAAAAGTTACTAAAAGGGACAGTTACTTCTTATTCCGTTTTAAGAAAATAACTTCTTTAAATCAAACCAATAACTGTCTCTAAGAAATCGACCCAGATTCATTTTAAATTTCTTAAAACACTCGAACAAAAAAAATTTTAATTAGCCTTTAAAATGCCAATCAGAACAATTTTGTTAATTTTATTATTGAGAAACTTTTGTTATTCATAAAGAATAGGAGATTGCTTGACCGCAAAGTTAATAGCAGAAATTAAAAGTTTTAATTGAAACATAAATTATTTAAAGTAGTAAATTCAAAAAAGGATGTAAAGAGATAATCAGCTACCATATTCTTAATTTATTAATTCCCAATTTTGAACGAAACAATTTTTTCATAATTAAACAAATATGACAACAACTAATTGATGAAAAGAATAACCAACTCATCTCAATATTCAAATACAACTTTGAAAGTAGGAATATTGAGATTTGATGAGCTGTTGATCAATAAAATTTACTGTTTCGTTATTTATATACAAAAATTGGAATATTAAACTTTTATTCAATTAATAAAATAATAGTATAATATGAAATAATGACAAAAAAAAAATGATAAAAATAAAAATAGAACTAGCTTGCATCTTAAGATGAGAATTTCTGATTGAATGATCTCTGATTTATGAATTTGTATTGGTTTTGTATTAAAAAATTTAATATCTATGGTTTTGACTTTAGAGTTTTGCGTACTAGATATTTAATAGTTGATAAAGTGCACAATGATTGTGAATAATTTTGCATAAATAGAAGTTATAAAATTTAGAAATAATACTGAAAAATCAGCATTTTATTTATGAAGTTAAAGGTTCAAATATTTTATGGAAAGTCTACTTGAGTTGCTGAAATTCCTGATCTTAATAGTGATTACTTTTAGCCTAAAACTCTTTCTAATTTATAAAAATACCAATTTTGTCTTTCTGCCTTCGAGAGGAAGAATTATTATTATCAGAGATGCTGCTTGCAATAATGTAAATATCAGGACAGCAGATTGTAAACCTATTAAGAAAATTAACATTTTTACTTTCTTTCAATAATATCTTCAAAGCTAATTTAAAATAACATTCCATTTTCATTTTTTTCCACTTAAAATTCTAGCTAACCCGTTCTAATTATTGATTGTTTATCAAAACTTTAAGATAAATCCATAAAAGAGGAATATTTTGGTTTTTTAAAAACTAAAATGGTATATTAATTGAATTTAATGTATATCATAATAGTTATCTATTACATAAAATTTCTTGTTGTAAGTATCCCTCAAAAACTGTAAAATACGCAGAGGCGAAAAAATTATCTCGAAATTCCGATCTAAATAATTTCTATTTAAATTTTACAGACCCACTTTTGACAACTATGAAGTGATTTAAGGTTATAGAGAGAATTTCTTTAATAAGAGGGGAAATAAAGCATTAATAATTAAAAGAAAAACTGTAATTAGGATTGAGGTAAAGATATTACAAAGAGCTAAAGTTCTCAAACTTTATTGCATTAAGAAAGTAATGAAAACTTAGAGATATCAAGGCAAGAAATTCACGGAGTTTAGAAAAAAGATTATTTTAATGATCCTTCCTAATAATTTTTCCATTCATTTCTCATGATGGTCATAAAAATATATGTTATTAATGATAAGTAATATAAATCATATAAGGAAAAACTATCCAGACATTTTTCATGATCTTTTTTTTATCAATTTAAATGCCACCGTATCATCACGTCATTTTCTATTTAATTATTGGAGAAAAAATATCTTAATTTATCATGACTTTTAATTGAGAATTAACCTGGATAACCTTTGATTAAGTACTTTAAGAACATATTATAAAGCTTGTATCATTTGAAAACGAGAGTAATTTCGAATCTATTCGTAAAATAGTTAGAATCAATTGGTAAAAATGCTATTAATTAGTTGTCAATTTAAAGTATTTAACAAATAAATCATTCTCCAAGACCCATTTCTGAAAAATAATTAATATTAATTAAAAGAAGGAATTTGTAATTTTTAGTAATATTGATCTTGGAAATAGGATTAGTTAATATTTTGTTGAAACATTGATTTAAGCAATCAAAATAACTCTTGAAATATTAAGTTTTCGAATAATATATTCCTTTCATCTACAAATAATAATAGTAATAATGATCAATAGATTCGCTAGAGAGACACAGACTTGACCCATATCATAGGTGCATATATGATTGCCATTAATTGATGATTTATGAAAGTGTGTAGTTAGGCAGATTAAAAAAATAAATTAAATGAAGATCAAACTTCTGAGCTTAAATCAGGCAATTACTTTTAATGAATCAATAGTGGAAACAACGATATCGAAATAAACAAAGAAAATACAAAAAATTCATTAATAAGTAGATGACAGAAATCAAATTATCAAAAGTTATGCTGATTTAATTCACAAAGCTAACATATCTATAGTTACATCGCTATCAGAAAGGTCTATTTACCTTCGGGAATACTTAAACCTAAAAGCAATTAGTATTCAACATAATTCTACCTTACATGAGTACATTGAGTGGTTAAAGAATTATGTGAAATCTGCCGAAATAGAAAATCTTTGGAATTTGAGTTTAAAAATCATTTAACACTAAATGAAATAGTAATTGGAATTAGATAATTTAGGATATGTTTGATTCAGACTGGATTGAGTTATAGGTAGGTAGGTTTATAAAGGAAGTCCTGGATTTTTTTGTAATCTCGGTGAAGTATTAATCGGCACATTCTCTATAAATTAGCCGAATACATACTAATTGACCAAACACAATTAAAAAAAAAATGCCTTGTTACCAATTCTTCCAATTACATTTAAATTTGAGTTATTGTTTGTCAACCTCCTAAATTATTATTATTTTTTGGATAACCAACATTTTGGATTATGAGATTGATGGCTGAATTTTGTTTCATCAATATAAATGATTTAATAATGTTACTATAATATTACAGTTTAATCATATTAGTAAAACTTTGCGATTGTTCTAGATAATTGTTATATACATAGCATAGGCATGAATAAATCAGGTCAATACTTAGATTTTGTAGAATAATATCAAGAGACTAATTGACAATTTATTAGGAAATGTAAAATAACATATAAAATAAGTGTTTGATAAATTACAAAGAACTGATTGATGAGTATCTAGAAAAATATATAAATATAAATGAATTATCATTATGAATTCGACTCTAAGACTTATTTTTCTCTTTTCTATAGGGATATAAATTTTTCAGCAGCTCATACTGTTAAAATTAATGTCTTAACAATTTTTTCTTTGTTTAAAGAATATTTGAAAAATTCAAGTATCTTGCAGAAGCTTTTTTAGAGTATTCTAAATTGATTTTTGGAAAGAAATAAATTAACTCAAATTAAAATGTTTAATCAATAAAATACTATGATCTATGATCAACAATAAATGTATAATATTATATTGTATCTTATTATTTTATAGAAGAGTCATTTTCTTCTCTGTTATAATTGAAATAGTCCAAAATTTTGAATATTTGGTTAATGGAGAATAACTTCAGAGTAATTAAATCAAATTTTTCATTATTTAATTAATGTTAACTTATGATGCCTTTTTTTAAAGTAAGTCATCGAATTGTTTTTCTCATTTATTGGATATTAAATATGAATTAGTTAGCACTCGCATATCTCTTGCAGTATTGTAAGTTATTATTCAATTTAATATTTTATGGCCCAATAAATGTAAAGAATTTTTTATCATAAGTATTGATCTAGTATAAAATTATATTTTGTGTTCTAAAATTTAATTAAGTATTTTTCTTTCATAACTGTTTTTATTAACACTAATTGAATATTTTATAAAAGCTGTAAATCTTCTAGTCAATTTTTATTATTTAAATGGTCTAAAGACTTTCATCCATATCTCACCATAATATGGCAGTATTTAATATAATTAACACATTATTATTATGATAGTTTCATCATTTGGTAAGCAAGAAGAATGAGACCATTTAACAAATTACTACTTATTTTAATTAGGCATCAAATAAATAACATAATTTTTCATCCTTTAATTTTGAATATTTANATATGTTTGATTCAGACTGGATTGAGTTATAGGTAGGTAGGTTTATAAAGGAAGTCCTGGATTTTTTTGTAATCTCGGTGAAGTATTAATCGGCACATTCTCTATAAATTAGCCGAATACATACTAATTGACCAAACACAATTAAAAAAAAAATGCCTTGTTACCAATTCTTCCAATTACATTTAAATTTGAGTTATTGTTTGTCAACCTCCTAAATTATTATTATTTTTTGGATAACCAACATTTTGGATTATGAGATTGATGGCTGAATTTTGTTTCATCAATATAAATGATTTAATAATGTTACTATAATATTACAGTTTAATCATATTAGTAAAACTTTGCGATTGTTCTAGATAATTGTTATATACATAGCATAGGCATGAATAAATCAGGTCAATACTTAGATTTTGTAGAATAATATCAAGAGACTAATTGACAATTTATTAGGAAATGTAAAATAACATATAAAATAAGTGTTTGATAAATTACAAAGAACTGATTGATGAGTATCTAGAAAAATATATAAATATAAATGAATTATCATTATGAATTCGACTCTAAGACTTATTTTTCTCTTTTCTATAGGGATATAAATTTTTCAGCAGCTCATACTGTTAAAATTAATGTCTTAACAATTTTTTCTTTGTTTAAAGAATATTTGAAAAATTCAAGTATCTTGCAGAAGCTTTTTTAGAGTATTCTAAATTGATTTTTGGAAAGAAATAAATTAACTCAAATTAAAATGTTTAATCAATAAAATACTATGATCTATGATCAACAATAAATGTATAATATTATATTGTATCTTATTATTTTATAGAAGAGTCATTTTCTTCTCTGTTATAATTGAAATAGTCCAAAATTTTGAATATTTGGTTAATGGAGAATAACTTCAGAGTAATTAAATCAAATTTTTCATTATTTAATTAATGTTAACTTATGATGCCTTTTTTTAAAGTAAGTCATCGAATTGTTTTTCTCATTTATTGGATATTAAATATGAATTAGTTAGCACTCGCATATCTCTTGCAGTATTGTAAGTTATTATTCAATTTAATATTTTATGGCCCAATAAATGTAAAGAATTTTTTATCATAAGTATTGATCTAGTATAAAATTATATTTTGTGTTCTAAAATTTAATTAAGTATTTTTCTTTCATAACTGTTTTTATTAACACTAATTGAATATTTTATAAAAGCTGTAAATCTTCTAGTCAATTTTTATTATTTAAATGGTCTAAAGACTTTCATCCATATCTCACCATAATATGGCAGTATTTAATATAATTAACACATTATTATTATGATAGTTTCATCATTTGGTAAGCAAGAAGAATGAGACCATTTAACAAATTACTACTTATTTTAATTAGGCATCAAATAAATAACATAATTTTTCATCCTTTAATTTTGAATATTTACTAAGTGTGATATCATAAATTGATTGTAAATACTAAAATACAATATAATTTTATTTCACAATAAATTATTAAATCGATTGTTTTTATCTTTTGAAATTTTAAGATTGTTTCATCTGCATCCTCTTTAATAGCTAATGTTAATTAATGCATAACTTCTGGAATAGTTGGGTCAGTTTCCGAAAATTTGTAAAAAAGGTTCTTATTACCTTTACAATTTTATCAAATTTAACATTATAGTTTTCTTTAAGCAATTTAAAAAATATTATAAGAATTAACAAGAACTTGCCCCATAGCCTCATTTAGTTACTCAGTAACATCATCTTATAAAACAACAATTAAATGAGATTATAATCTCGCTTGAGATATTGTAACAAAGCTTAAAGCGATCTTTTTACCATATTAAATATTGGAAGAAATGTAATTTTGATAAACAGTATTGAACAAATTTTTAATTGGTAATTGCATTTATCAAGAATTCCTTCAATCTTTAACATAATTCTTTTCCATTTGTTTCTTTTGATACAAGTATCAAAAACTTTACATTATATCCTTAACTAATTCTTTTTCCGTATTCTGGTTCTTCTATTTATCCCAATAAGTTACAGCAATGGTGATGATATCTTTAAATCGTATAAATGATTATTAGATCATTGGTCTTAACTACCATATTAATAAATCCAATTTGCCTGCTTGAAGTTTTTTTTCAGCATTTTTGTTTTCATATTTTAAGGTGTAAATTAATTCTATTTGGCTGAAATTAAGCAATTATTATAATTTAAAGAATGGATTTTAACACCTATATTCCATAAATAATAATTATCAGAATTTGAAATAGATTATTAATATCATCACAATTTAATCGAAAAAAATTAAAATTAATTAGAATTGAATTAACAATTAATTAAATTATTAGATAGAATCTAATCAATGATTCGAATCATGAAATTTCAATTTCATATATCTGATACTTCTTGCTAATCTCATCCCATAAAACTAAATTGTTCCCATCTTTCGTCATTGTACCATAAATTTCATCAGTTAGAAATTCTTTTTGTGTAACAATTTTAAATTTCCCATTTGAACATATCTTTAGCAAATATAAATAATATTTATGTCTAACAGCAAACATTTTTCTTCCTTAATTAAATATTATAGGGAAAAAGAGACAATCATAGCATTTAGCATCTGTCTATAAAGGTATCATTTTGTCTTTCTGATGTTGAAATTCTCCTTCTTATAGTTCATATACATAAACACTGTTTTGTTAATATTACTCTTTAGGCAACCAAATGAATTGTGTATTTGTTAAAAAGCATATTTTATGCCCATCTTAATTAGTATCAATAATTTGATGTTCATAAATAGAATGTTATTATATTTACCAAATACGTATTTATTTATCATTAGAACAAGCAACCAAAAAGGTTTCATCTTCATTTAAACTTATGCAATAAGCTTACTTAACTGGCAATATCCACATTATATCTAGCTTTTTTTTCTCAAAGTTAATATCAGATACACTAATTGATTCTTACCCACCAATGTAGAGTTTAGCCTCATTTGTATTTAGTATCATACAATATGCTCCAATTTATATAGTATTAACATTTTCCCAACTTTAATCATCTTTAGTTTACCACATCGAGATTGAATCGTTACTCCCTGAAAGAAAGCTATTACACTTGTTGCTAAAAATCAAGCAAAATATCAGCATTTAATGTGTAGATAAAGTAGTGATCTATTTTATATTCCCATTATTAAAGTTCCACATTTTTATTTGATTTTCTGATCCTGATGCCATAATTGTTCCTGGTTGATTAAGCGCAATTGCAAAGCATGCTTCGTTTTAACTCATTGTATCATCCATCAGAACTAGTCTTACATTCATTAATTCTTCATTGAATAATTCATCAAGCCAAATAGAATCGGATTTGTATATAGATGATAATGTTTCCTAAAATTTCTGCATCTAGTTTAAAAATTTTTTAAGCTATTATTCTTGAACAACTTTACAACTTAAATATATTTTATTTAAATGTTTGTTGCTGGATTATTGTGAATATTTTTCCTTTATTTCAGATATCGTATTCTTCTGTTTTCGGAATACATTAATAAGATCAATAATCCCATTAAATAATTCTTACCTCATGTTTTCAAATTAATTTAAAAGTCTTTCTATAAAACTTTCAAATTATTCGAAACCATAGAAAATTTCTTATGTTTTTGATAAATTCATCTTCAATTAGTATGTTTAGAAATATATTGAATAAAAATTAAAATCTTATATATTCATTTTTACTATTAAATTAAGTATATTTTAAAATAAAAATTTATCAATAATTTTAAATAATATATGCATTTAAGAAGCATTTATAAATTATAAAGTATTTTAATTAATTATATTTAATTCGAGAATCATATCTGATCTAGAGATTAGAAGAAGATTTGTTGTTAATAAACATTTTTTAATCAAAAACATTATATTAATAAAAAGAAATTATTTACTTTTAATATATATAGATGTTTCTCATATATATTGTCTGTTAAAATATTCATTAATTGTTTTATCAGATTATTATGAGGTAAATTGTGAATCTTTGCTTATTTTTGAAATAATTAAAGGAAAAGTTCGGTTCATAGGATTTAATTCGATAAATCCTATCCTGTATTTCCATAATGATTATGAGGTTTCGAAATGTATTAAGGAACTATTTATTTATTCAGTTGTCGCTGCTGTATAACTTTTTAAATCTTATTCCAAAACTATAAATTATGGCCCACCAATTTTGACTATTAATTTATTACTCTCAATTGCTTTAATTTTTATAGCATTTATGGCGTAACCCTCTTATCTTATCTCAAGTAAATTACCTTTATGTTTGTTCTAATATATTTTATAATCAATATTTAATTATATAAATTCTTTGTCCTTTAAAATTATCTATCTAATGATGAACTAGATAGCATTAGATGAACTTACAGGTTTGTTACTTTCAATTGAAAATAATTCCACTGTGCCATCAGAATATGCTATTATCAATTGTTTTTCATCATTCGAAAAATCTATACAATTAATCTTATTTTTGTAACTTAAAAATTATTTTCTAGTTCGATTTTGTAATTCATAAACATATAACTATTACTCTTGACTAGGCAAATAAGCCAATTTATTTCCTGAATTTGACAATTTCAAATATGAATATATTGTTATGTCATTTAGGATTGTCTCATTTGTACTTGCAGAAATATCAGTAATTTCTATATTTTTATTGGATAAATTTTAAATGGCTAATTTTTTCCCATCACCTGAAATTGAGTAGTTAAAAATTTCACCTGCCTTCAAAAAGTTATGCTCATCAACTTTTTCTAAATGAGTTAACCAAAAATAGATATTCCCATTAGTGCTAAAAACTAATTCGTTTGCTCTTGGATGATATTTTATGCAACTTATTTTGGAGTTATCTTTAGTCTAAAACTAATTAATTTGACACTAATCCTTTTTTGACCAAATTCTGATTAGATTATCTTCTCCAACTGATGCAAGTATTTCGCTCTTTGAATGAAAATCTAAACATGTTATACCGGAGGGGCTGCCTTCTAAAACAAACTTTGTTTCATCATTCGAATTCCATAATCTAATTTTTCCATCTTAACATCCTGCAGCTATTGTTAAATCGTCTTTAGAAATAGCAACAACTAATATTTTTAGATTATTATAAGAATATTCTTTCTGTTTTTTGTGTGTCTCTAAATAAAAGACAATCAATTAATTTGTAGTAACTATGAGTAACGTAAATGTGTTATTGAAAAATTAAATTAATGATATTTGTTTTTCTTCTCTATTAAAATCTCTAAATTTACTGGAATCATCTTGATTTCGAAAACAATCCCATAATTTAATTTTATTTTAACATATATAGGCAATATGATTTCCTGAAGAAAATGTTATACATTTAATTTCAATATCAACTTTTTGAAATGTCTCTTGGCCTAAATTGCAATCGATTATGAAAATCTTTTTTTCATTTGCCACGGCTATTATATTTTTATTCTTTGATAAAATTATTTACTTAATTTCTATATCTAGTGGTTTTATTTATTAATTAATTTGAGAATTTTATAAATTAATGGTTTCAATTCTCTAAACACATCCAGTTATTAGTTATTCTTCATTCTAATAACAGCAAAATACATTAGCAGTATATAACTTATCGCACCTATAAAAGTTTTCTATTCTTATAAATTCTATAGAAAAGTTCTGTTTTAAGAGTGCTAAATTTTCACCGTTGAATGAAATCACAATGTTAAGAATCTGATTCTATTTATAATTGTATACTAACATATCATTTAAATTAGGTTTAATTACTTTTATTTGGTCCTTAAATAGAAGAATTAAATAGTGATTAGAAGCTAGAATCTGACTTATATTGGTATCATTAAAGTTGTATGTTTTGTGGGGTTATATCAGTAATTCAACAGATTAACCGAATTTTTCAGTTGAGCAAAACTAAATTCTCGAGTCTCCACTGCTGTAGGCAAACAATTCCCCATTTCTTGTAAATGAACAGGATTTGATTAAACTGTTGAATGTAATTATCTATTTCTTTTCACTTTTTACATAATCCCAAATAATCATTTACTTGCTATTAATTGAAGCCAAGATATTACTGTTTGGTGAAAAACATAATATTTATACTTCATGAGTATTTATCGGTGATGATTTTGAAGGGTTAATATTTAATTGTTCACCTTTTGCATATGCTATGTAACTCGAGTCAAAAGATATCACAACTTTCGATCCTTCTCCCAAAATCTTATTTGTATTTGTCTTTATATCCCACTTAATGATTTCTTTATATTCAGTTTTATCTTTCTTAACAATTTTTATAACAATCACTAAATTTTCACTTCCTTAGAAAATCATCTAATCAACAACTCCCATAATATATAAATGATTAATAGGTTATTTGGTCTTAGAATCACACAAGGAAATAAAATTATTCTCTCCTGAATAAGCAATATATTTTCCATCGGGTGATAAGGCAATTTCTTTAATAGCTTATTAATGTCTTATTTATTCTTCTTTGTAATAAAAACCATTTAGTTCCCATTATAAAATTGAATCATTCTCACTTAATGATAATAAATATTTGTCATCATGGCCAAGCGCAAAAGATTTTAAATTATGATTGTTTTGCGGATCTAATGTAATAATTGGTATTTTTTATTCTATATCCCATAATTTTAGGGTGTTATCTCTACTACTTGCCCATATTGAATTATTTCTTGTAAATCTTATATTAATTAGTTAACTTCTGTTTTCATAGAGACTAAATAAATATAATTTTTCACGTAAACTCCAAATTTTGATGGATTTGTCATTACTGCAGCTTGCTAAATATTGATTATCTTAAGAAAATGTGACACAACTTACTTCACTATTAAATGTATGATATTCTGAGTAAGTTGATTAAGGTTGCAACTAGAATAATTTGATACATTTATCAGAATTACCAGAAGCAAGATACAGATCCGAGTTATCATAATCCATACTAAAAGACAAGGAATGTATTAAACCAGAACTAGCCTTTATATTTTTTACCAATTCCCACTATTATATTTTATATATTATAACTTGACCATTGCTATCACCTGATGCGATGTACTATTTTGTAATCGCAACTGACAAAATATTACTTTAATGATGATTATGTTGATTTATTATTTAACAATAAAAGATGTTCCAATAAATTACTTATTAATCTTTTCCAACTGAAACTAATTACCTACCATTAGATGAATAAGCAATATTATTTACAATATCAGTATGCCCTTTCAGTTTCTCAATACCTATACCTCCTTTCCTATCACATATTAATATATTTGAATTCTAACCAATTGCATAATGATTTCCTTAAGGTGATATTTCTATACATGTTATAGTACCACTTCTTTTGTTCAAGAATCCTGAAATATCCCATATTTATTGACCTAAAGCTAATCTATTTTCACTTTTCGAAAATTGAATTTCATTTTCCTTATTTTCCTTATCTTTGCTATCTTTGAAACAATGGACAATTTATGGATATTCTAAATCAATTAATTTAATATAATCTTAATGATCCTTATAAGCAATAAATTTCCCATTTGGAGATAATACAAGTGACAGTGTATTATATAATTCTATTACTTTGAGATTCTACTTTGATTTAATATCCCAAAAACGAATATAACCCTTTTTGTCGCAAGATATTAAATCGTTATTCGCAATTCCTTAGAAAGCTAATGTGACTACAGTAGATGAAATGTACACAAGATCTACCGGATTTTTATTTTCTTCAGTTTCATAAAGTCTGATTAGATTATCACAACCAAATGCTAGAACATTGATGGAAGAAGAAAATGTCATTACATTTACATTTGCAGATGTGCTAAAATCCTTTATCCTTTATAAATTGTCAATAATAATTGAACAGATTTATTTATTTGAATTTGAGTATATTAACTATTGGTCCTTTTTAATAAAAGCAATTTATAAGATATCCCCTTCATTCTTTAATTAAATAGTTTTGGGTTAATCTTTAATATTTCTTGTATTGAATATTAAGATAGCTGAGTTTAACCCTATTGCTAATAGTTAATCTTCATTTGAAATCGCAAAACTAGTGGCTTTAGTTTTTATATCATAATTTCCTTCTTCAGAGCCTTTAATCGTTTCCTTAAAGATTTTGCTATTTTTCTCATCAAAATATATTATCCACTCGCCAGTTTAATTAAATACCAAATATTTTGGATTTATTTTTATATTTCTATAATTATGTATTATTAAATTTTTCCATTTTACCTTCTCCAAACAACAATAAACAAAATTGCAATTAGTAATATTAACGTTTCGAAATTCACTGTTATTTAAATTCACTTTATAAAACGAGCAGCCTTCTAAAGTAATGTCTTTGAGTTTGATATTTTCAAAGCTATCATCCTTAAATACACCAAAAATTTTATAATACAAATAAAATGCATTAGATATTGCTTAAATATAATCTTCAAGTCCAATCAAAAGTTTAATTAATTTTAGCAATTTACAATCTAAAAATCTAATTCTAACTTCCTCAAGTAAGAACTTAAATATTCCGTTATATTATTTTTATGAAAAATTATATTTATTAAATTTATTGATATTTGGATTATTGTTTAACCAATCCTAAAAGTTAACATTAATTAAGACATTTGGAA